TACAATGTTTTTTTGTCACTGCTCTTTGTATGCTCACCAGATGTTTGGTAAAATTTCCAATGAGTTATTGCTGCAAGGAGTTAGTTGGTTTCACATCGCTACCTTCAATTTTTTTATACAAATATTCTAAATTAGCATAACTCTGCATCTAATTAGGCGAGCTCTACTAATCTTGGATTTTCCTACATTAGCATAACGGGTCTGTAATCTTTGACTGGAAAGTAAAATCATATTCTCTTGCTTTTGAGTTCCTAGTCTTGAACTTACAATCTGTGACAGGTTCGGTTATGTACTTGTTTCGAGGTGAATTTGGCTGTAAGCTTTACACTGGGGATTTTCGCTGGGAAAAAACAGGTGTCCGGGTGGAAAATGCAAAGTCCATGCTACTCGATGCTCTCAAAAATGACACGTTGGATGTTTTGTACCTCGACAATACATATTGTAACCCGATGTACACATTTCCTTCTCGTGAAGTTGTTGCCCAGCAGGTGCATGTTCTAACTTCTAATGCCGATTTGTTGTTTTGTGTGACTGAGCTTAATACACTCCAGCTTGTTCAGAAGATGAATCTCTTTGCACACTTGTTCTACTTCAGAAGATGAATAACTAGCATTTCATGACTTTGTCACAGGTTGTTGATATCATCAAATCTCATCCAAATCACGATGTTGTTATTGGAATTGATTCATTGGGCAAAGAAGATCTTCTGCTCTACATTGCACATACACTGGACATAAAGGTACATCCATTTGATGCAATTACCCATATATCAATTCAAATCGTCGAATTTTCATATCCATCTATATGGCAGCCTTTAGATATTATAGATGATTTAACTGCCTATTTTCCATTCTCTCAGACTTTGTATTGTTTAGACTCGTATAATCGCTGATAAACCTTAATTCTCAATGTGAATGGATTATCGTTAAATTCATCTACATTCAGTAACTGGTCCTTTTTACGAATGTTGTCATAAGGAGTAAAGATTCACATTTTTTTACAGATTTGGGTTTGGCCTGAAAGACTACAAATCATGCACTTGCTCGGATTCCACAAAAACTTCACCACACAAACCTCCCTCACAAGAGTTCGTGCAGTGCCTCGTTACAGTTTTAGCACCGAGACCCTCGAAAGTCTCAATGCAATCCGCCAGACCATTGGAATCATGCCATCTGGACTTCCGTGGGCCACAAAGTCATATTCAGGAAATGGTAAAATGAGTCACGAGCACATATTCGTCGTCCCATATTCAGACCACTCGTGCTTTCCCGAAATACAAGAATTTGTCGAGCTTCTGAGGCCGGTCAATATAAGGTCCATCGTGTCCTCAGGTTCGTCGTGTTGTGTTGACCCGTGTTATTACTTTGACCATCTATGTGGGCCCAAACAAGCGTCTTGGAGGGTACAAAGGCAGCCCGGAAAGGAGGATGTGATGGAAAGGTTCGACGATTGTTTAAAGGAAATAGCAGAAGGTGGTATGATTTCGAGTGTGGTACGCAGAAAGAGAAAGTTTGACCAGGTTGACTTTTTCGGTGTACGTGTGAGTAGGGTTAGCTTGTTGAGGAGGTCGAGCCGTGGTGTTAAGATTGTGGACACCGAGTGAGTGTCTTTCTCGATCACTCGGTCTCGGGTAGTTAAGTTAACTAGTCATGGATCTTATGGTTAGTAAATTGTCTTAGAAGTGAATTTGTTGATAGCCACATCTTCACAATATTTGCATGAGGTCAAATAATCGATATGTAGCTTAACTGTACCTACAATTTTGAGGCCTTGTGTTATATTTTCATTTTTCCAATGTATTTGAGAAAAATGTTATATTTAAGACAACCTAAGGGTTAATCATATCGATCTGTCAATGCTTTCTGAATGAATATATATATATATATATATATACTTATACTTACATTATGAAATACTATATTTTGTTAATATTATTTTTTAAATATAATTTATTTTTTGTTAATATTATTTTTTAAATATATATATATATATATATATATATTTTTTCACGTAAATATGTGTATGTTTCAATTGCTTTGGAAGAATTTGAAATTTTAACCTTATGATTGTCTCACTTTGATCGTTATTTTATGGAAAATTCTTAGATTGCCATTATTTAATGCAAAATTACAAATAGTTCCCATATCCAAATAATGTGTGGCACTACAAAAGTGCCTTATCTCCATAATTCGCCTGTGGTCGTCCGTCAACCACACGCCCCCATTCAAATCGACCCTTTTCACTTACTGCCCGCACAAAAACCAGTCGAAAAAACGGAACAAGAAAACCTCAAACTCAAAATTGCCCTCCAATGGCGTCCTCATCTACACTATCCCCCGCCATAATCCCTTCTCAGGTACTCCGACAAACAGCAGTCCGCCAGTCCCAGTTTGTTCTTTCTGTTGAAACTGCTATTTTTATTTGTTTATTTATTTAATTTTTTTTTTGTTGTTTGTGATTTGTAGCTGTGCTCGAGCAAGAATGGGGTGAACTCGATCTCGAACGTGGCGCTCCCGAGATTCGGCAGCGGCAAGAGGATGAAGGTGTCGTGCATGGCGACGAGCATGCCGGCCGATCGAGTGCCGGACATGGGAAAGAGGCAGCTCATGAATTTGCTGCTATTGGGCGCCATCTCTCTTCCTTCTGGTGGCATGTTGTTGCCTTACACTTACTTCTTTGTTCCTCCAGGGTTAGCTCTCTCTCTCACACACTGAAATTATCTTTACCTCTCAGTGTTCTTCTCTTGTCATGTGATTTACGGACTAGATTTGAGGGTTTGATAGTTAAATTGAACTGTTTGAGCCTGATAGATTAATTGAGTGGTTTTTATGTATTTGTGGACAGATGATGTTGGTTTGAGATGTTTTAGCCAATGTGTGCTCTCTTGATGATAATTCTTGGTGTTTGCATATGGAATTTGAACAGTTTATTAGTGTGTTAACCTGTCGTATTTGGTTTATGATCAATTGTGCTGCTGCCCAATTAACGAGATATATTTGCTATTGTGAATCTCGACAGAGTTTGTGTACGATGGAGTTTGAACAAACACACGAATTGGGAAATAATATCATATTGGTGGCTGGGTATTTTGTGTTAATTTTCTTTCCATTTGTTAGTGAATAGAGTTGCTCAATTCTGTTTCACAGAACAAGATGGAAAGAATAAGATTCATGTATAAGCATTCAAATTACCGTTTTGAGTTCAAGTACAATTAACCGATATAATGAGGATGAGAACCAATTTCCATACTCATCATTCAAGAGCTTACCAAGCATCATCATGCATGTTGTATTTTCCCTCTGAGCATATGTGATTCTATTTTATTTTACTTTTCTTGGAGCAATCACATTTGGTTTACAGACTCCATGTCAAGTTTTCTTTTAACACGTGTATTATTGGTTTCAGTTTGTTACTACTATTTATATCACTAAACTTGACCGATTGAGATTTATCACAAACAGTGGTGGTGGGTCCGGTGGAGGTACCGTAGCAAAAGATGCTTTAGGTAATGATGTTATTGCCGAGCAATGGCTCAAGAACCACGGACCAGGTGATCGGACCCTTACGCAGGGACTAAAGGTAAAATATTCATTCATTTACTTTAGTGAATCGAGTAATTGCAGGAAAACTTTGTAGATATTACGAGTACTATTAGTCAATTCTATTGACTATTAAATTGTTTTTGTTTTTTTTTTGATGAATTTTTAGGGTGATCCCACGTATCTTGTTGTGGAGAATGACAAAACACTTGCGACGTATGGTATCAATGCCGTGTGTACCCATCTTGGCTGTGTAGTCCCGTGGAATGCGGCTGAAAACAAGTTTATTTGCCCCTGCCATGGATCTCAGTACAACAATCAAGGAAGAGTTGTTAGGGGACCTGCTCCTTTGGTAAGCCGACTTAATTATAATCTCGGAAAAAGTAAAAGAATAACAGTGAAAGATAGCAAAACAAAAGTTACCCCCTTGTGAAGTTATAGTTTTGACACCAAGGGGATGTATTCATTCGTGATTCTTAAAGATATGTTGGGACGTGAAGAATCTGTTGTGTTACTTGACTTTTTCAACTTTTAAAAGTCCTGAGGTATTTCATTTGAGATTTCAGAAAGTCTTAACAAATCACGAGGTATTTAACTTATTTGACACTAGATTTACTAAGGCTTTTTAAGATTTGGTGAGATTTTCATAAACAAAACTCTTATAGGAAGTCCCACTTCAAATCCACCTCCAGGCTCGAGATTTTCAAGGATTCGTCTCAAATTTCAAAAAGTTATAAAATGTCTCTTAAAAGCTCAAATGAATACACCCTCTTTGGGTGTGGTTTGTCTCTAGTTATAGAAAACTTTGTCTATATTTAGAAAATAAGTGCCCTTGTAACATATCTGTTTCTACTTCACAATTAGCCTACAAATGTGGAGAATATGTACTTTTACCACTATATGCAGATTTTCAAGGAAATAGATTGCTAGTTAATATTATTATCAACATAAATTTTTCTTTTCATGCCTGAAAGTTCTGTTGGAATCAATTGTGGACACTTATGAAACTCAAATTTCAAACCAGAAACAACTATTGAGCCGTGAAGTTCTTTCTCTCTTT